GAGACCATGGCAGGAGGTCCCAACTTACTCTGGAAGCAGAGGGCTCCCCAGGGAAGGGGCAGGTTTTGGCTGAATTAGGGTAAATGTTGAGAAACCTGGAAATCTCCACATGAGGCCAGCCCGTGTGGCAGGAACAGGGCAGGCTGGGCCAGGTTGGCCTTCTGCTGGGTAAGGAATGTGGACTTTTATCCTAGGCCCCCTAGGGTCCCCCTGAATCCTCCTTCTGATAACTGTTCCTTCTCTTGGGAAGTGCGCCTGAACCCACTCTAGTAGTGGGGAGCCCCCAGCTGAGCCAACCAGAGCCCATCCCGGGGATTTTAACTCGGGATGGAAAGCATGCAGATAGTCGGTGCCTTTCTGGGTGAGTCAACAAGAGCCAGGCTTGAAGCTCAGGCCTCCGTTCTCTCAAAGAAGCTGGTCTGCACGATGAAGCTCTCAGAAAGAGGGGCAAGTTCATTCTGGGGGTGTGCCTGCCCGCTTCCAGCTGTCCCCAAGGCCCTTGGTGGCTCTTTCAGGATGGTTGTTTTGAGCCCTTCCTACCCAAGCTGGTTCTCAGCGGGTCGTTGTCATTTATAACCTGAGTTGTGGGTAACGCACCATGAAAAGGGTTTGAGCAGAGAAGCTCCAGGATCAGAAGAGTTGGCAGAGAAGGGGCTGTCAGGTACACACACCCCTCCCCCATAAAGAATGAATAAACAGGGCCGGCCCATGGCTTAGCGGTTAAGTGCCCGTGCTCCACTGCTGGCGGCCCGGGTTCGGATCCTGGGTGCGCACCGACCCACCGCTTCTCCGGCCATGCTGAGGCCGCGTCCCACATACAGCAACTAGAAGGATGTGCAACTATGACATACAAGTATCTACTGGGGCTTTGGGGAAAAAATAAATAAATAAAATTAAAAAAAAAGAATGAATGAACATGAAAAACTTACAGTTAAATGAAAATAAAAACGAGCTTTAAATAAGGGTCAGTTAACAAAGGGGTGCAGGTCTATGATTCCACTTATCTAAGGTTCAAGATCACACTAAACTAATCTGTGCAGGTAGGGGCCAGAACAGTGACGGCTGCAGGGGCAGGTGAGAGCAATGGAAATGTCTGTCTTCACTGGGATGGTGGTTCCACAGGCGCATGACCTTGCAGAACTCATCGCACTTAACGTCTGCTCATTTCACTGTACCTCAACTCTAAAATGTGGGTCAGGCAAGTGGCCAAGACTCTAGATGCAAGAGGTAAGCTGGAAACAAAGAAAAAACAAAGAAAGAAAAAAGGCATCAACAGTCCCTGGGCTAATTACACGCTTCCTTGATCCTGTCTAGAGACTTCTCCCTCCAGTGGTCACCCTGACATCCCTGGCTTCTCTCATTGAAGCTACCAGGGGCACAGGCCCATTCTGACCAGTCCCCGTGGCAGGCAGGATGGGCTGTCTCAATGGCCACCCAAGCTTGGAGGGGTGGTGAGGAGGAGAGGGCTGCAGTTGGTAGAGTTAGGGGGCAGAGGTGGGAGCCCCTCCCTGCAGGCAGAGGGCCACAGGCAGAGCCCAGAGGGAGGAGCAGACTGGGAATGTGGCAGAGGGAGCTCCCCTCCCCAAGGGCGGGGAGCTGCCTTGAAAATGAGTCAGGAAGCGTTCACTCCTCTTCAGGGTTTGGAAGAGTGAGGATTGGTGTAATTCCTTAAATGTTTGGTAGAATTCACCCGTGAAGCCATCTGGTCCCGGGCTTTTCCGTGTTGGGGGGTTTTTGATTACAGATTCAATCTCCTTACGTGTCTCAGGTCTGTTCAGATTTTCTCTTTCTTCTTGGGTCAGTTTTTGTAATTTGTGTTTCTAGGAATTTGTTCATTTCATTTAGGTTATCTGACTCCTTGGCACACACTTGTTCACAGTATTCTCTTACCAACCGTTTTAGTTCTATAAGATCAGTAGTAATTTCCCCAGGTTCATTTCTGATTTTGGTCATTTGTGTTTTCTCTTTCTTTCCTTAGTCAATTTAACTAAAGCTTTGTTCACTCTGTTGCTCTAATCTTATTTCCTTCCTTCTGCTGGCTTTGGGTTTCATTTGTTCTTTTTCTAGTTCCTTCAGGTGTAGGCTTAGGTTAATTTGAGATCTCGCCTCTTTTTAAAGATTTTATTTATTTTATTTTTTCCCTCCAAAGCCCCAGTAGATAGTTGTATGTCATAGCTGCACATCCTTCTAGTTGCTGTATGTGGGACTCGGCCTCAGGATGGAGGGAGAAGTGGTGCCTCGATGCGCACCCGGGATCCGAACCCGGGCCACCAGCATTGCAGCGCGCGCACTTAACCACCAAGCCACAGGGCCGGCCCAACTGTCTCGCCTCTTTTTAAATGTAGACGTTTACAGCTATAAATTTCCCTCTTACCACTGCTTTCACTGCATCTCGTAGGTTTTGGTATGCTGTTTTTGTTTTCATTGGTCTCAAAGTATCTTGTAATTTCTTCTTTGACCCTGTGGCTGTTAAAGAGTGTTGTTTAATTTCCACATATTTGTGAATTTTTCAGTTTTTCTTCTGTTATTGACATCTAGCTTCATTCCACTGTGGTCAGAAGATACTTTGTATGATTACAATATTTAAAATTTTTTTTTTTTTTTTGGTGAGGAAGATTGGCCCTGAGCTACCATCTGTGTCGATCTTCCTCTATTTTATACGCGGAACGCCACCACAGCATGGCTTGATGAGCAGTATTTAGGTCCATGCCCAAGATCTGAACCCACAAACCCAGCGCCGCCAAAGTAGAGTGTGCAAACTTAACCACTATGCCACCAGGCCAGCCCCATCAATCTTTTTAATTTATTGAGACTTGTTTTGTGGCCTAACATGTGATTTCTCCTGGAGAATGTCCCATGTACACTTCAGAAGAATGTGTATTTTGCTGCTGTCAGGTGTAGTGTTGTGTGTTTAGTTGGCTTTTTGGTTTTTAAATTGTGTAATATTTGGCACAGACATAATATACAACATACAAAGCATCATAAAGCGAAAACCCATGAAGCCACCACTTTCCTTGAGGATGGGAACATCACCAACACCTTCCCTCTTCCCCAGGCACGCCCTGTGCCAGCCCCACAGGGAAGCATTTTGGCTACTTTTACTCCCTTTTTTCCTTATTTTAGCACATACACAAATCCCATAAATTTGGTGTTGTTTCATAAAAACGGCATCATACTGCCTGAACCTCCATACCTTGCTCTTTTATCCCACAGTGTTTGAGGGGAGTCCATGGTGAGGTCAGGGCTGTAGTCCCTGCTCCACTGCCCTGACCCCGTGGCACAGCCACCCCTCAGTCCTTTATCCATCCCTCTGCCCGTGGACTTGCAGCCTTTTGCTTATCTCCATCTCGATTTCTCCATTCCACCCAGGTGCCCCCAGACTTGTAAGAGGCTGAGGTGCACTGAGGCCCAGGAGATCACACTACTGGGTGGCACCCTCAGTCATGATTCCCACCCCCCCCACCCAAAAAGGAGGGCCCACCCTGGGTGGGCTGTGGATCGGGGAGAGCACTCTGCTGGGCTTGCGCGAAGGCTCAGCCAGCCACTCATCCCCGGGCTAGGCTTCTGGGCAAACCCTGGGGGCCTGCACCCCGGGCCTCCTTGCCCCCCGCAGCGCAAGGCACAAGGCTGCTCCTTGTTTTTCTCTGCTTCTGCTCTGTTGGCCAGAAAAGCTGGGAACAGGCTGCAGAGGGTCCTGAAATGTCAACGGGCAACTCAGAGCTGCCCAGAGCCTGACCACCATCCTTGCTTCTGGCATCGCGTGGGGCAGGGGACAGGCCTCAGGCCTCGGGGGCAACCGCCCACACCACGGGGCTCATAAGCCTCTCCTGCTGGATGAGCAGGCCCTCAGGGTAAGGAAGAGGGGCCTCCCCCACCCAGCACACAAACTGTTGGTGGCAGGAGCCACAGCCTAGGGCTACGCCCCACGGGCTTCCCAGGAGGGTCCAAAGCCTGCCAGGCCTTCATACCAGCCCCTCGGGAGGCCCCTGGCCTGACAGCTGGCTCCCCACCCCACGCATGCCCACACAAGGTGACACGGTGGCAGATGTGCCTCCCGGCCCTGGTGACACCAAACAGCACTCCAGCCTAAGCCAACTTGGAAAATTCCAGGGACAAGGAAATTCACAGCAGGGCGGGAGTAGCTGGCCTTTGGCTAGGACCAGGGAGCCCCGCCCAAGGGAGGGAGGGGACGGGGACTCAGGGGAGCAGGAAGGAGGGACTCGCTAGGCCTGTCTCAGGGAAGTCCTTTAATAGATGGGCAGAGAGGGGACACAACTCGCCGGGGTCGATGAGTGCGGTCACCCAGGGTGGACACAGGAGAGGTGGTTTAAAAAACACGGCAGGAGTAATTCTTCACTTTCACCGACAAGGGCCTCGAGGGAACGGCCCGCTGGAGGACTTGCACATGGAGCTGGCTCTGAGCCTCTGGTGGGTGGAGTCTGCTGCCCCCACGGCCTTCCCCGGAGCTGCCTGCGCAGGACGGGGGCCTCGCTGCACGGGGGACTGCTGCCCACAGCCTTAGTGTTTCTACACTATGTACATCATTGTGCTTTGGAGACCCCACCCCGCAGCGGAGGCCTGTGCCCCAGGTGGAAGGAGACCCCACTCGGTAGGCTGGGGGACTCAGGCCCAGGACAGAGCAGCCCCACTCCTCACCGGCCCACAGGCCGAGGGGTTGTGGAAACAGGAGGGTCCACGGGACACAAGATGCAGGCGGGTGGGAACAGGCAGGGGTGGGAGCCCAGTGGCAAGGCCACCAGGTGTGCGTGGACTGGCCAGGGCAGAGCGAAGCTGGGCTCAGATTGGGGTGGGGCTAGGCATCTCATCAAAAACCGTTCTGCAGCAGCCAGCAGGTGGGGCCGCTGCCTGGGGCCCCTCCTCCCACACCCAGCTTCAGGAGCCAGGGGGCTGGGCAGGCTCTGACTCCAGGTATGTGGGTGGGGAGGGGCAGAGGAGGGCCACTGGTGCCAGGTGGAGCTGGGCTGGAGGAGCAGGGCGTGGTGACATCTGTGGGCATGTCCCCGCCAGCAGGCCGAGACAACAGGATCAGTTGTTCTCAAACAGAGAGAGCAGGTCGTCATTGCTGTTTGTGGGTAGGTCAGGCGGGCCCAGGTAGGACAGCAGCTCATCGGGGTTGGTCAGTTCTGGCAGCAGCTGAGGACAAAGCAAACACGTCGGCAGCTCTCACCTGGGACCTGCCACACCCTTGCATGGCTGCTCAGCCACCGCATCCCAGCCAGGTCCCCAAGCCCAGCAGGGATGTAGAGTGCCCCCTCCCCGACACAGGCCCAGCACCAGAGCCCTTCAGTCTGCACAGGGGCTCTCATTGCAGAAGTCTGCTCTGTGACCAGGAATCACTCATGACAAGGTGTCCAAGCATAACACAGGACACGCAGCGCCTGCCCCAAGTGGCTGAGTTGCTCACGGCACACACAGAACCATGAGAGGACCCCCCATGTGAACAGGGTGAACGCAGGAGCTGGAATTCCTCTCCCTAGGATTTTCTGCTTTGAGATGCTCTAATTTTTTTCATGTTGAACTTTGTATGTCGTTTATTACAGTTGAGGGACCGTCACCCGTCTTTTACACACTGATTTTGGCTCACACACCACCTGTTAGTCAGACAGGTCAAATCAGACCCTAAGGCCAGTGTTGTCAGCTGCAAGCTCAATCTTCTTGGGGACTCTGCACACGCCATGGCGCCCAGGTCCCCAGAGTCAGGCGCCCGGACACAATTACCCCACGGCTACTCCAGGTACCTGACACTCGTCAACAGAAGAGCTGACATCTGACCAGCCCTCCCTTCGTCTGGAAGTCACTGAAGTGTCAGTGCCCTCTCCTCTATGAAACCTGCGGACTCTGGGGATGACGGACAAGCTGCCCCCAGCCCTGGCTCCCATGCACTTCTTAGCGTGGGGCCTGGTACTCACGTCTAGGGCTGGTTCCGGGGCCTCGCCCGCGCCAGACATGGGGGGGCCCATCACGCCTGTGGCAGTGTTGAAGGCCAGGTCGCCTACAGGACCCGAGCTCAGTGGGCCCAGGGGCTGCCGGGACGCTGGAGGAGGGTTTGGATGGTGCAGCTGGGGCCCTGGGGGACCTCCAAGGTTGGGGGCATGCAGCCCCGGAGGCCCGGAATTGTGGGCCGGGTCCAAGTGACCCGCTGGTGCCATCTGAGGAAGGAGAGAAGAACCTGGTAAAACAGCTCAGGGGCTCCCTGAGGGACTGCCCCTCAACCCCTCAGCTTGGCACTGACCTGGCCGGGGAGGCAGGGGGCAGACTTTTCTGGCGTCAGGAGGCTGCTGGGAATGTCGGACTGGTAGGAGATGGGAGGTGGCCCTGGGGTGAACTCAGGAAGGGTCGGGGTGCTAGGTGTGGTGGGTGGGAAGGAGTCAGGGAAGGTCCCGGGTCCCAGGAAGCTGGAACCTGAGAGAGGAGAGCCAGGTCTTGGGTGAGGGCCGGGGGTGCTCATGCTGGCAGAGCAGCCAGGAGGGCAGGCTTCTGTGGCACGGGAAGGACATGCAGCGCTCACCCACAGATAACATCGGAATTTATGGAAGTCGCTATTCTGAAAAGAGCATTTCTTCTCATCGCTGCCGGGGAAAGTGGCCTCATGACATTGCTAGGAGGCCATGAGGGAACAGGAATGGGACCCGCCACACCCAGACACACTACATGTGGGGTCAGATGGGGCCAGTCCACAGAAGTGTGCCAACAGACAGCCCCTTGTTCCAAACCACTGGGGAAGATGGGTGCAGCTACAGCTGGAGGCCCTGCTGCCCAACCCCACTGGCATGGCTGAGGCTGTGCCTACACAGCCATGTCCCCAACCAGCCCCCCAGGTGTGTGGCCCATGCAGTGACACCTTCACAGGTACCAGACTGATCTGGAGAGGGCGGATCATCTGCCCAGGGCCATCCGAGTTTTCAGGCCAGGTCCGCTGTACTCACCCTGGCTGGGGTAGTCGCCGGGGGCCGGGGCCGAGGGGGGCTGCAGGGGGGCGAAGGGGACGGCACCAGGGCCCAGGGCAGCTATCATCTCCATCACGCTGGGCATGAGCACATGGGCGGGGCTCACGGTGCGACAGCGTTTCAGCACCGGCCCGTCCGGCTCCTCTTTGACATGAACATCGGGCTTCACTGGCACCGGCTTCCAGCTGCACGTGGGGTCGATGGTGATCTCCTCATAGTCGGAGCTGGGCGGGGACACACAGAGGCTGGTCACCACTCGTCCTGCTGCCTCTCCTGGCCCTGGGGCAGTTTCTAGGCAGACCTTCCACTCAAATGCATGTGGCCACCTAGCATGTTCCATGTGCCCCATGGTCAGATGCCGGGCCCAGGTCAGACATGGATTCCACCCATGGCCTGGAACTGAGTCCACTCCATGGTGGATCAGCAGGGGGCATCTCCCCACCTGTCCTGGGGCTGCTCTCTGTTGACCACAGACACTGGGGTGGCAGGAAGAGGAGACTTACTTCTGAATGTAAATGAGGATGCCCAACATGTACTGGTCCACCTCCAGGCCCTCCAGCAATGCTGTCTTGCTGTAGAAAACAAAGGGGACATGGCTCAGAGGCCTGGCCCATCTCATCCTGGGCACAGACTCTGTCACTTCTCAGCTGTCATCCTGCACAAGGCTGCCCAGTGTAAGATGACCCCGGGGGAATTACCTCTGTGTGAGGTGATGGTGTGAGGTGACCCTGCGTGAGGTAGCCCTGTGTGAAGTGACCATATGAGGTGACTCTGTGTGAGGTGGCCCTGTGTAAAGTGACTATATGAGGTGACCCTGCGTGAGGTGGTCCTGTGTGAAGTGACTATACAAGGTGACTCTGTGTGAGGTGATCCTGTGAGGTGGCCTTGTGTGAAGTGACTATACAAGGTGACCCTGTGCGAGGTGGCCCTGTGTGAAGTCACTGTACAAGGTGACTCTGTGTGAGGTGATCCTGTGAGGTGGCCCTGTGTGAAGTAACTATGTGATGTGATTCTGCGTGAGGTGGCCCTGTGTGAAGTGACTATATGAGGTGACTGTGTGAGGTGACCCTGTGAGGTGGCCCTGTATGAAGTGACTATATGAAGTGACCCTGCGTGAGGTGGCCCTGTGTGAAGTGACTATACAAAGTGACTGTGTGAGGTGACCCTGTGAGGTGGCCTTGTCTGAAGTGACTATACGAGGTGACCCTGTGTGAGGTGGCCCCGTGTGAAGTGACTATACGAGGTGACCCTGTGTGAGGTGGCCCTGTGTGAAGAGACTATATGAGATGACTCTGCATGAGGTGGCCCTGTGTGAAGTAACTATGTGAGGTGATCCTGTGTGAGGTGGCCTTGTGTGAAGTGACTATACGAGGCAACTCTGCGTGAGGTCTCTGCCCTGAGCACCATCCTAGTCTGTGCTGTGACCCCAGCACCCGGCTTGGGTATTTCTTGACGCTGTTGGAAAGAAATGCCCATGGCAGCCTCCGAGGGAGTGCCGCCATGCCCCCAGCACATGCGGTGAGGACCGTCTCTAGGACACTCACTTGCACACAGGGCACCTCCAGGTCCCCCGCTCACAGTTGAGCTGTAGGTACGACTCCAGGTCGAAGCACTGCGGAGATGGGGAGAGAGAGAGTTTCTCACACTGGGCCTGGGGCAATCTGGCCACACCCTGTGATCCAGCCAGGCGGCTTCAGGAACGCAGGACTTATTGACTTGCGTGTTTGAGAAGCCACATGTACCAGGGTTTCACTGTGGCATTGTTCTAATAGAGCGAGACTAGAGACAGCTCATGCAGCCCTCACTGGGACTGGAATGCCACATGGGCAAAGCAAGAATCGGGCAGCTGCGCTGATGAGGAGCTACCTCTGGGATATGGTGTTGAAAGAAAAAATACAGTGCAGAGCAGTGCGTGCCACTTAGGAAACCACAAAGGTGGAGAGGTGTGCATGTACTTATCCACATGCATATTGTTTCTGCAGAGACAGAAACTGAGGTGATGCTCCTGGGGGTGGGCAGGAAGAAGACTGCATTTAAGATCGGAAGCCCATGAATGCAGTAAAATGGTTACCATACTTAGAAGAAACAAAAGCCAGTCTGAGGACAGCAGGGGAGCCAGGCCACCTGCCCAGTGGCCAGCCTGTCCTGTCACCTGCCGGCCAAGGTGATCAGAGTCCACACCTGCTAAAGATCGTTAAACAGTGGAAGTTCAGGCAAGGCAAGGTGACCACCCACCTGTATGTGGCGACAGTCATGACCTCTGGCGGGGAGCTGGATCCTGCGGAAGGTGATGGGGCACTTGAGAGACACCTTGATGGCCGTCTGCTCCACCCCATCCTCTCCATTGGGCCCAGGGGTGCCGGGGATGGTGCCACTGCTGAAGTTCCGCTTTACTGACATCAACAGAGGAAAAGACTTGAGTAAGAGGCCACCAAGCGGGACCCATCACTGCTAGCTTAACAGCTCCAAGGCGCCATCTAGAGCTGATTGCTGTCCCCCTGTGCAGAGTTCCCGCCCCAGAGGAGACAGACTTGTCTGACACGGGACGTGCCACGTGGAGCAGGGCCCCAGCAGAGGCGCAGGCTGGCTGCCCAGTAGCCAGAGAATGTAAGGGCCGCTTACTCTTGGTGATGCAGTGCTCGGCAGGCAGGAGGCGCTTCTTGAGGAGACCCTGCAGCACTGAGCGGACAGAGGGCCGGTGCACCAGCTGCAGCACGAAGAGGTGGGACTGCAACAGGAAGACACAAGTCAGCATGCCAGGGAAATGCAGGTCAGGCCGGCTGCGCTCCTCAGGCAGCCTGTCCCCTTCTCCCCCAGGGAGCCCAGGTGACCCTGGCAGGCCAGCCCTGGCCCAAGCCTAGCCCTATCTGTAGAGCTCACTGTGCCTCCTGCACCAGTTGTTCAACCATAGCCTCTCTGTTAATACAATCATTCAAGAGCCCCTGCCTGCAGCCTCCACCGTCACCCATGCTGGGTGTGAGCCAAGACGCCCAAGCCCGCAGAACTGTGTCAGGGTGACCCTGTCTCGGCTCCCTCACACCCAGGCTGATCAGCGCTGCCCGGCTAAGCGCTCTGTCTCTTCTAGTCCCAGATCTGCCTGGGCCCTGCGGCCTGCTGAGATCCAGTGACTCCTTAACAAGGATTCAGGGCCAGCCGGGGACTCAGGACTCCATGAGCTTCCTCCCAGAAAGATGCGGGCTCGGCTCGGTTTCTCTTACATGATTAACGAGAGCGTCAAATCTAGTTCCTGGAACCTAACTGGGAAGCAGCGAGGGTGTATTTAACTGGGTCCCTTCTCTTAAAGGGCCAGGAGAACAGACTGAACAGGAAACCACTGGTGGGAATGAGCAGAACCAATGCCTTTTTCTCCAGCAATGACGCCCAGGGCACTCACGCAGCAACAGGCCGTGACGGTGATCTGGATGGTGTTGCGGCCCGGCTGGCACACGTGCTTCAGGTACAGGGGTTTGTGAGAGGTCTTGTTGTCGCCGCGCTCGATGGTGAGTGGGGTGGCGTTGACGCTGACCTGCACCGAGGCCGGCCAGTTGGTGTTCATCTGCCGGTCCTCATGGTGGTAGCACTTGAACTGCAGCTCCAGGTCAGGCCTGTGCAGGGAGGATGGACGCTGAGAGCGAGGCGGTGGTGCAAGGGGCCACACAACAGGGCAGGCGCCTGCTTACCTCAGCATCAGGGTCTTGTAGACGGAGTCTCGGAGCTGGAAGGCGTGGTTGCTCACAGCCAGGTTGTGCTGCAGGCGGAAGGGCTCCAAGACCACCCCGTCCCGCACGGGGAAGGTCAGCCGCAGCTCATCACAGGGGCCACTGCCTGGGAGCAGGCCACGCCAGTGTAAGCAGGCCACCTGCACCCCAGCAGCTCACAGAGGGCCACCAGGCTGAGGCCTGCCCTCATCGCCATCACAGGGATGGCAGTGAGGGGAGTGCGGCCCATCCTCCCCTTCCACAGGGCTGGGATTTGGGCAGCATCTCTCCTGGGACCCTGGGCTCGGTTGTCCCCTCCAACGGTAATAGGATCTTGGTATCTGCCCTTCAGTTCTGCCTCAATTTCCTGGCCCAGTGTCTTCTAACTTATGACCAGACAACATGACCCCCAACCCAGAAAGAAGATGCTTCTGGTGCTTTCAGAGGGGGTGGAAGGCCAAGGAGGTGTGAATGGCCACCTGCCTCACCCTAGCCCTGGAACTAGGGTTTCAGGACTCCAACTTCTACTGCAATCGTCTCCCCAAAAGCAGGGATTTGAACCAGGAGTAGGCTTCAGGGGGCTCATAAATCCCCTGAAATTACACACAAAATTTTGTGTGCATGGGTATTTTTCTAGAGAGATCTACACCTCGAACAGATTTGCAAAGAAGTACATGAATAGAAGATAAAGCTGAAGGCTCCTTGCTCCCCATGTTCCCCACAGGACTCTGGAGTCCTGGGACTGCCGCCCACCCGTCCTGAGAACAAATGACACTCACCCAGGGGTGATGAGTGCAAGGAGCTCACGCTGGGCTTGAGGTCAGGCAGGAAGGGAGACTTGACCTCCTGGCTGGTGGATATGTAGGGGACGCCGCTGCTGGGAGTCATGGGTGGCGTGGGGCTCCCCGGCAGTGGGGAGCTGGGGTAGCCAGGGATGGAACGGGTCGGCTGTGGATCGAGCAAACAATCAGGGCAGAACAGTGGACAGGTGGAGTTTGTTCCTGGAGCCCTGGCTGGGAACGGTCACAGAAAGGGGCAGGGGGAGCCCCAGGGGTGCCTGGCTGGGTGCCCACACTTCTTCCTGTCTGGGCACCCTCTCTCTACACGCCTACCTAGTGAGCCTCCCGCCCATCTGCCCTGCCGCCCATACCCCACTCAGGCCGGGCTGGCTGTAGCTGACGCTCCCCCCGTTGAAGCTGGCGCCCTGCCCGTTGAACTGCTCTGTGGGCTGCAGGAGAGAAAACCACGTGTACCTGGGGCTCCAGCCGGCCCCCCAGCCAGGCCCCTGGACTGCACCCTAGGAGAGGGCTGGGGGCAGGGAGCCCACCACACACACAGGTCCTGGCCTTTATTTTCTTCTTTATATACTTTTTATGTTTTCCAAATAATCTACAGGGAGCACTTACTGATTTCATAATTTTAAAAAATTACCACTACACAAAAAGAGGTGACCACACACATCAGAGGGGTTTACAGGAAAGCCACAGAGGCTGAAAGGACACAAAAGCACACATCTCCTCCTCTCCCCACTCCAGCGGCACTGCCACCACCCAGGCTCCTCCCCCCATGCACTCCCGAGGGGCCTGTCCCCTCACTGGGCTTCTTTGCAGCAAGCAGAGGGAATGGGGATACTTTTCCATAAAGGACATTCAAGTGGCTTAGGTACCTGCCTGCTGCTCCCTACACCAAATTTCTACTGAGATATATGAATCTCATAGAGGGTCCTTTCAGAGTTAGACCCCTCCCGCGAGTTGCCCTGCACTGGTCAGGACCCCTGTGAAGCTCTTGGCTGCTTGGTCACCCTAAGCACACGCAGGCCCACTCCCCAGCCAGCCTAGAATGCTCGAGGTCCGTCTGTGTCCTGCAGCGCCTGGCACAGGGCCCACCAAGAGTGGCAGCAGGCCTGGGAGGAGCCAGCCCTACCTTGTAGTGCAGTCCTGAGGGACCCGAGGTGGACAGGGACTGGCTTACTCCCTGCTGCAGGGGCAGCCGGTGCCCGGGGAAGGAGGAAGGGGCAGGGGGCTGCCCGGGCCCAGGTGTATACTGGCCTCCTGGCAGGTACTGCTGCCCTGGATATACCTGAAAGAGGAAGGATGCAAAATGCCCAGGGGAAGAACAGGTATCAGGGAAGCCAGTTCCCCAGGAGGGACAGCAGTGCCCCCCATCAGGCAGGGCCACTTCTCTCTCACATACGGATGCCCGACCTCACCATGGCTCGGATGGCGCTCAGGGTTAGGGAGGCCCAGACACTCACCTCACTGGAGTAGGCTCTCTTGACCCCCTGCCGGGGCAGTGGCTGGGCCTGGGGAGGCCCAGGGTACCCGTGGGGCAGGCGCTGCCCTGCGTACAGGGACGCCATGCCTGCTGCCCGGGGTGGGTTCATGCCCATGGGGCTCATGCTGGAGGGGCCCATCAGCCCTCCCACGCTGGCAGGGTTCATGCTGCTGGGGACGCTGGGACCCCGGGGACCTCCGTGCTGTAGGAACTGGCTGTTAAAAGACTGTCCGGCCCCCATCTGGGAAGAGAAGAAAGGACCCATCCAGGCCCCACCCACCACTGTGGGTGCTGGCCCTGTGCCCACCCTTTGCAGGCCACCCCCCAGGTCCTCTCCTCTCAGCAACTCACTCTTTTCCCACCCATCTCCCTCTCACTGGCTTCATCTTCACCAGCCCAGCACATTACATGCAGGTCCCCGACCCCAGCTGCCTGACTGGTCCCCGCCTTTCAGACCAGCACATGCGGGCCCACGTGGGAGGAGACGCTGGGCCTCACCGCTCCGTACTGGCTCAGCTCCTGGCTCTGCTTCTCCTGCAGGGCGGCCACGGTGGCCGTGGCCGTGGCGGTGGCGGTGGCAGCAGCAGCAGCCACGGCAGCAGCAGCTGCTGCTTGAGTGAAATCAGTGGAGGGTCGTGTGGGATGTGAGGGGAGGCCCAGGCCCCCTGGTCCCCCCGGGCCACCTGCATACCTGCAAGAGACACAGATTGCTCAGCTTAGAAGCGCTTCTTTGCCTGTCACCTGGGGGGCACACAGCACCTACAGGGAGCCCCATTCTTTTCCAGACACTCCCTCTTTAGCCATGGGAACCAGCGGGAGAAGTACAGAGATGCAACATTCAACAAATCGGTATCACGTGATTCCTAGGTGCCCACCAAGTTGGAAGCATCACCCCCAGAGGGGTCCTAGCACATCTACCAGGTGAGGGGGGTCTTGCTTACCCAGTGGTGAAGCTCGGGCCCCCAGGGTAACCCCCGCGGCCATACATCCCTGGCTGCACGTAGCCCTTGCTGGCGCCAGCCTCACCAAATGCCTGCTGTCCGAGGCACTGCGGGGAGTTCAGGGCAGAGCTGCCGCCTGCTATGCCAGGCATCATGGAGCTGCCAGGGGGGCTCCCTGCAGGGCCCATGGGGTTCCCCAAAACCTAGGAGGATGCAAGAATCACCAAAGGGAATCATCCAAACAACTTGCCTCATGTAGTGGCTCTAAAATGCTGGAAAGGACAGGCCTGGCAGGTGGGGGGGG